ATACTACACAGTACTACTACTGCATACTACACAGTACTACTGCTCTAAAGGTGCAGAGGTCACAGGTCACATGTGAAGAATCGCAGCTCTGAAAGACAAACTGGGAGTTTCAGAGTTTGTGTGTTTGACTCGGTGTGTCATCTTTACCTGAAATATGTGATATTTTTATTGGTCAGCCAATCAGAGAGAGGCTGAGAGCCTCCTCTCTTCTGATTGACTGAGTCAGTAAAAGACAGTAAGTGGGCTTTGAGTTGAGTTTTCTGACAGTAAACTGTAAATGTTCTGCACACATCGAATTCCTTTCAACCAACTACTGGATTAACTGTAACTCTATGTTGAAGGATGATATGCAGGTGTATGATCGTATGAAGGGGTCTGACTCTGCCTGAGTACTTTTACTCCTGAGTACTTTTACTCCTGAGTACTTTTACTTCTGATACTTGAGAATCTACATTGAGCTGATCGCACTTCTTCTTTCACTTAAATGAGACTCTGAACTTCTGACACAATATTTTTAGACTGTGGTGTTTTCTGCTAAAGTAAAGCTTCCTCCTCCTCCACTGGTAATCATGTGATCAGTTCATTTAAAGCTCCATATTTTCTTCTTCTTCTGTGTTTTATTTGAAGTGTTGATCCATCAGAAGATATAAAAATCATCTCAGTGTAGTTTCACATCTCCTTTCTCGGGCTTCTCTCTGGAGCTCTAGTAACAACAGGTCGGTAAGCGAATCAGAAGAGAGGAGACTCTGAGCCTCTCTTCTGATTGGCTGACTGTTTTCTGACTGATCCAATAAAAATACAGCAGATTTCAGGTAAAAACACTCAGAGAAACCAAATCCTGCAAGGTTTGGATGGTGGGTCCAGGTGGGCGGGGCTTGGTGACTGCTTTGTTGTGACATCACAAAGTTCCAGAAGTCCTGACGGCTGGTTTTAAGGCTCAGTTTCTGAATACAGGCTGTGTGCATTTCTCTGTGGACTGAGGCTTTGATACTTTCACAGTATTAATATAGAAGCTAGAGCTGATCTATAATCACACTACACATGGACACACACCTTTACACTGGAGGAGCTTTAATTAAACAGAAGTGGTCCAGGTGTCGTCATGTGAGCAAGAAAACAAGAAAGTCTCAGGAAATGAAAACGCTCAAGTACGTGAAGCTCTGAACTTTACTTGAAGGAACAAATAAAAACATTGTGTTCTGATGATATAAAGGCCAAACAATCGATTTATTGGCAGATTAATCAATGATGAAAATGGAGACTGTCCTGTAAAAAAAAAAAAAAAATGAACCCACTGGTCGTCTGTGCAGCAGGTTACTATGACATCATAGTTAGGTTTTGTTGCTAGGCGACATCTTGTGTTCGTAGTCATGATGACAGGAGGAAAGGGAAAAGTGTCAGTGACGTAGTATAAAGAGAAACAGAGTCCACGTCAGGAGGACGAGGATGAATGTGACACAGGACAGCGGTGTTCGATTCCCATGTAAAAGTAGCAGTTTATGTTGTAACCATGGCAACAATGGTCGTCTAATGTCGAGACAGTAGTTATTGAAGAGTGAAACTTTTCCTCAGTTTCAGATCCAGACACACTGAACACAGGTTTTATTTACTGCAGCATAACTTTATTTAAATGTTTAAATATCTAAAGAAAAACAACAAGTTCTGAACCAAACTCAGTTGTAATAAAAAATAAAATCATCTTGCATATAAAAAGACTGTTTTATAGTTTAATTTATTAGACTTTTCTGGTGTATTTGTGTATTTTTTCTGACCTTGAACTGACCTAGAGTCAGATTTTGAATGATAATCACTCATGTTACAGGTGCCTGTGTCGTTTTTCTCTCGGCTGCTTTACACTTTGTTAAAATGACAAATCGAGACGTCAGACAGACTAATATTAAATATGAACCAAAATCAACCTGGACTCCGCTTGTAAACCTGCACACACGCAGTACTGGAATCAGCTCACGTACATGTGTTTTCACTGGCTGGTACATTGTGGTGTTGTGGTGTTTGACTTTAGTAACAGGTCTGAATGTTTCTTCCTGCCGACGCTGCGACGCAGAGCGGAAGCATTTCTCTGTGATGAGGAGGACGATGATGAAGAGACAAACTGAACGCGCTGGGTGTTGTTTTTTAACACGGACTCTTTGTGTTTTCTCTGCGCTGCTGATGTGTGAGTGTCTCACCTGCCCTCAGCTCAGTCTGCTTTACTTCCTGTTTTAAATTTAGCCCAAACTTTCAGAGACTTCATCACTTCCTCTTTTCACTGACTGCTGCTCCCAGTGCAGTCTGCACAGCGACACACCTCCGTCTTTGAGTCAGTTTGTGTTTTAACTGCTGTCACATGCTGCGTTGAAGGTTGTGCCTTTGTATTTTTACCAGTGCGCACACAGTACTGTTGGTGGTTAAAGTGAATTAGTGAAGAGAGCGCTGGGTTTCACTCAAACGTGTGAAGGTGCAGCTTTTTCACCGAACTCACTCTCAGATGGAAACGGTACGATAATTATAGTCTTAGATTTAAACACAGTCTGTAACTTCCTCGAACAGAAGGCGGCGTTGGCTGATGTTGTGAAGCAGCGTGGGATCATGGGAGTTGTTGCCGTCAGCTTCTCCTGGTTTGGATTCCTTCAGTGTCAGTGGTTCAGGAGGTTTTAACCTGGAGCTGCATGAAGCGGTTTCACTTTAAAAATCAGTGATTAACCAACACAGGACGTCTCAGAGCGGCTGGAAGGCTTCTGATTGGCTGACTGTTTTCCAATAAAAATATAGCAGATTTCAGGTAAAAACACTTAGAGAAACCAAATCCTGCAAGGTTTGGATGGTGGGTCCAGGTGGGCGGGGCTTGGTGACTGCTTTGTTGTGACATCACAAAGTTCCAGAAGTCCTGACGGCTGGTTTTAAGGCTCAGTTTCTGAATACAGGCTGTGTGCATTTCTCTGTGGACTGAGGCTTTGATACTTTCACAGTATTAATATAGAAGCTAGACCTGATCTATAATCAATCAATAATCATTATAATCAATCACACCTTTAGACTGGATGGAGTTTTAATACTGTTCAAACTGTGTGTTGACAGGATGGGGAACCTGATCAAAGTGTTAACCAGAGACATCGACAACAATGGTGGAAACTTCTTCTTGGATTTTGAGAGTAAGACACACACACACACACACACTCACACACACACACACACACACACACACACACACACACACACAAACACACACACACAACCACACACACACAACCACACACACACGCACAAGCACACACGCTCACACACACACACACACACACACACACACACACACACACAAACACACACACACAACCACACACACACAACCACACACACACGCACAAGCACACACGCACACACGCACAAGCACACACGCACACACACACACAAACACACACACACGCTCACACACACGCACACACACACGCACACACGCACACGCACAAACACACACGCACAAACACACACGCACACACACACGCACACACACACGCACACACGCACACGCACAAACACACACGCACACTCACACACACGCACAAGCACACACGCACACGCGCACACGCACAAGCACACACACACACACACACACACACAAACACACACACACGCTCGCACACACGCACACACACACACGCACAAACACACACACACACACACACACACACACACACACACACTCACACACACACACACACAGTGAAGGTAAATTGCTCCCCTGGGTGGGACTCTGACTGTAGGTCACGGTGTCAGATGAATGATGATGTAACTCTGTTGAGCTACAACATGGAGTCATCTGTGAACTGTATCAAACGTGTTTTACAAATAAAGTTTGATTGATTGGCGAGTGAAATCAAACATGTTTATCTTCCATTTAAAGGACGATCTTGTTCCTTTTATTGCTGCACATTCTGGGATTATTTCTCTGTGCACAACCTAAACACGTCCAACAGAAATTACACGTACATGTTAATTCACCCTCCGTTACCCAGCATGCACGGCTCCTGCACCACAGAGCGAGCAGGCAGCAGCGGTGCAGACTCACTGTGTTGAATTTGGCAGATGTACAAACAGAGGTGGAGCAGAGGGTGTGTGTGTGTGTGTGTGTGTGTGTGTGTGTGTGTGACCTTTGACCTCACGCTTCTCTCTTCAGACGCTCAGCCCTCACAGTCAGAGACGGGGGTGTGGGAGAAGGTGAACCAGGTGCTGACGGAGGCCCAGATCATCCTGGATGACCTGCAGGCGTACAGAGGAGCAGGAGAGGAGATACGACAGGTAAGACAGATCAGATCCAGTCCTGGTCCTGGTCCTGGTCCTGGTCCTGGTCCTGGATTCAACACTGACACTTTACCTCACTCACAAAACATCTCCCAGAAGCCAAAGTGTTAAATGAACACGAGCGGCTGAATCATCCACAGACGTCTCCTCTCACTTCCTGGTTGAGTAATCTGGGTCAGGCCTTTAGCCCCGCCCACCACCTGCTGGCTCCAGGTGGACAGGTGAAAGAGCAGAGAGCATCAAGATGGTGAGAGGAGGAAACATCAGAGAGACTCAGTCAGACCCAGACTCAGAGGAGGAGTCTGAGACCAGAACCAGAGACTAGCAGACGGGTCAGAACCGTTAGCTAGTTAGCATCTTTCATTTATTTATGTTGTTTATTAGCTTGTAACTAGCAGTGGCTGACACAGTGTTAGCAGTTGTGCTAAGTTTTATTCTTTCAAATAACGAGCTGAAAACCAATAAAGTGTCTGTGGTTTAAAACTAGATAAAAGTTGATGTTGAGCTTCAGACAAACACACTGACACATGATCATAGAGGATATGATGTCATCGACAGGCGGCCAATGAGACGTTTCCATGGTTAAAATCACAGATTTCTCTGGTTTGAGAAACTGTAAGAACACAACTCAACAACATGTAGAACACAGGTCCAGATGTTTTGAGACGTTTTAATGTGGAAAAGTTACAGATTAGAACTTTCAGGGTAAAAATGAAGGAACCAAAGACTGTACCCAGAAGACTGTGCAGTGATTTATAAGATCCCTGTCAGGTTCACAGGCTGAGGTTCCAGTTCATATCCGACTCCCACTCTGAGTGTGAGGACAGTATCAGAGAAACATCTGGAAGAAAACTAAAGAACCACATTTCCAACATGAATGTGATCTGACGGTGAAGTGACAGAAGTGTCCACTAGAGGGCGAACGCACCACACGCTCTGACCTCCACCCTGTCTTCAGTCTCCACCCTCTGCTCATCAGTGACGGACGCAGCAACAACGACGGAGCTTCATGATTCAAACACAAGAATCTGCAGAAACACACTTTTTATTATTGGTGGAAAAACATGACGAACAGGAAGTGACAGAGAAAAACAGTGTGAGGAGGAAACAGACAGTGACACAGTGAATATGAAACCAGATCTAGGGCTGAAGATTGAATTATGTTGGGTGTGTCCTGTGTGTGTGTGTGTGTGTGTGTGTGTGTGTGTGTGTGTGTGTTCAGGCCATCCAGAGTCCTGGTGTGGAGGGCGTTCAGGAGAAGGCCTGGTCAGCTGTGGTCCCTCTGGTCACTAAACTCAAAACCTTCTACGAGTTTTCCCAGAAGCTCGGTAAGAACCTGAACGCAGCACGCCGCTTCTTTTCTCACACGTTTATACTTTAGACAAAAAGCCTGTGTCACAGGAAATGATGAATTCACAGCTGTGAGTCTGGATCAGTCCAGATGAAACCTGGTCCCCCCTCATCTCTCCTCTAGCGCCACCATCAGGACAAACTTTATATTTTAGCTTTTTATATTATATTTTAATTCTGTTCATTTATATTTACATAAGAAATAAAGATATATATATCAGCTGGAGACAGAGCAGCTCTGACTGGACGTGGATTATTCATGGAGAAACTCCTGCACTCGCCCTCATGAATATTTATTCATAGTAAATAAACAGAAATAAACAGCTCCTCCCTCTACACAACGTCACAGGAAACAACAGCTCCCTCACTACAGGCCGAAGGGTCAGGGCCGACCTTTCACCTCCGAGATTAAACTACAGCTGCAACCGAACAGACGTGAACATGAAGCAGGACGAGGAGAGAAAATACCCAAACAAGTGCTTAAAGACTTTCACTGCTACATTTATGACGTGATCATGATCATGATCAAATTTACCAAGTGAATCACACATTCTTATTTCATGATCACAACTGGTCTCACCCTCGTGTTTTTACTTCTTCCTCTGATTGAAACAACCTCTGATCTCAGCTCAGTAAATGATTTAGTGCTTTTTAAACATTTCAGGTTTTTAAAGATCATTTATTTTCAAATCATTCAAAAACATTATATTTTAGTAAATTGTTCTGTTTTGAAAATGGTTTGTCGGCCCACTTGCAACGCCCCGGCCCCGGCCCACAGCTGGGGAACCACTGCTTTATACATTATGTCGAACCAGATCGTGACATTTTAAAGCATATGAGTGAATGAATGAATGAATGAATGAATGAATGAATGAATGAATAGTGGGTTGGTTGGTTCGTAATAATCTCACCGGTCTCTCAGAGTCCAGTCTGCAGTGTCTCCTGGACGTCCTCACCAGCTCCGGTTCCACTCCCACTCAACATCTGGAGCAGAAACAGGCTCTGGCTCGTCAGTTCGCCCACATCCTGCACTTCACGCTGCGTTTCGACGAGCTCAAGGTCCGCCTCTTCACCTCCTCCTCCACCTCCCCTTCTTTATACAAGCTCAGCACCCACTGCTCCTCCTCCTCCTCACGTGTCCGCTCTCTGATCTGTCGTCTCTGTTTCAGATGACCAACCCCGCCATCCAGAACGACTTCAGCTACTACCGCCGCACCATCAGCCGCATGCGAATCAACAACCTGTCTGTAAGATTCAACAGTAGAACACAGAATAAGAGAAAAGTGATGCAGCCAACGTGCATCATGTTCCTGTGTATGAGGTGTAAAGCAGATGATTGTTACTCAAGGGATACTTCCTGTTTTCAGTAGGTGGCGTTATGAGTATGACGTCATATTAACATGCAGATGTCTTCAGTCTGGGCCCGTCATCAAACATGTGAAGTCTGCGGCAGATTGGACAGTATATATTATAGTTATAACAACTTCCTGTTTCATGGCGAAACATCGAAATTCGCCAGCAGGCCGTTCAACGAAAACTCAAAAGTGTCGCCATTCAGCATCACGAAGGTCTTAAGACGAAACGGACCAAATATGATGCTGATCTGATGAATTGTTTTGAAGGAGTTTGTTAAAGTGCGACGCCCATAAATCACAAAGTCTGGAAATTGCAGAGGAAATTCAAAATGGCTGACTTCCTGTTGCGTTTAGGGTCTGGGTGCAATAGACTTTTTTGTAAGTCTTGGCATGTTTCATGTGCCTACAGAATTTTCTCTTTAACTCCTGACTGGGTTTCCACGGCAACCTGTTTCTTTTTCAGGCCGACGCAGGAAATGAGGTCAACAACGAGCTGGCCAATCGGATGTCTCTGTTTTACGCGAGCGCCACGCCGATGCTGAAGACGTTAAGTGACGCCACGTCGAAGTTCGTCTCAGATGTGAGTCCACACGTTCATTTCACTCACTGGTTCCTTTTGTAATTTATGCAGCATGTGTTTCATTTATTAATAGTTCATCCGTTCATTGTGGCTATAAACACAGATCATGAAGCGTCCGGATCCGTTAGAGCATCGTTAGTATTAGTTTGTAGAAAACATTCACATCGGAGGTGTAATGACCGTCCTGGCCTGTAGGTGTCAGCAGCAGCGGAGCACGTCGTCACTCAGACACTTATTGTTTCTGTGAAGCTGAAGTCATGGAAGTTTCCTCCAGATCAGCAGATCAGCAGTTCTCAACCTTTTCCTCTTGAAGATCTCAAAGCTGTTGTTGCTTTCTTTCTTAATGATAACGACTGAACATTCGACACGTGCGCTTCCACCTCATTAACGTGCATTAGACTCTCACTTGTTGCTTCTGATTGAAACTTTATCGTCCTGCTGCAGAATCCAGACGTCCCCATCGAAAACACCACAGACTGTCTGAGCACGATGGCCAGTGTGTGTAAAGTGATGCTGGAAACACCGTGAGTCCTGACAAGTTCCTGAACGCATCATCATCATCATCATCATCATTACAGCCAGCACATCCTGACTCTGTGTGTGTGTTGTTGCTGTGTGTGTGTGTGTGTGTGTGTGTGTGTGTGTGTGTGTGCGTGTCTGTGTGTGTGTGTGTGTGTGTGTGTGTGTGTGTGTGTGTGTGTGTGTGTGTGTAGGGAGTATCGCAGTCGTTTCACCAGTGAGGAGACGGTGTTGTTCTGCCTCCGTGTGATGGTCGGCGTCATCATCCTGTACGACCACGTTCACCCGGCCGGAGCCTTCGTTAAGACCTCCAATATTGACGTATGTTAACGAGGCACATTCACACACACTCGACACACACTGGTTATTTGCCTGGTAGACCCACGGCCCTTTGCTGCATGTCTTCCCCTCAGTCTCTCTCCCTGTCTGTCTCACACTCTCAAACATGAAGGAAAAACCCCCCAAAATATATAAAAGAGACTGAGACAGACGGACAACCAGAAAACAAAACGTCTCCGGCTCTGACTGTCGTCGGCGTGCAGAAATAAAATGACAGTCTACTTATCATACCCACAGAAGTAATCAGATTACTGTGGCAGCACCTCATCAGAAGGAATCAGGTCTCTGTCAGTCCTGATTCTTGTCTGGATTCTGGATCGAGTCTCCGTGAGTTTTCTCTAGTTGTGATTTCAGGCTGAATGACGTCTGTGTCTGTGTTTGGTCCTCGGCAGATGAAAGGCTGCATCAGGGTGCTGAAGGAGCAGCCGCCCAGCAGTGTGGAGGGATTACTCAACGCTCTCAGGTGTGTAGACCTCCACCAACACATCACAGATACTCATGAAGAAGAACTCTAAGTCATTAACCCCCCCCCCCCCCGCAGGTACACGACCAAACATCTGAACGATGAGACTACCTCCAAGCAAATCAAAAACATGCTGCAGCCAAATTAACTCGACGCTCGTTTTGTTGTGTCTCGGTCCAGATTTCAAAAGAACTACTGAACAAACCTTTAGCTAATGTTTCTTTGTTTAACCTCATTTGTTGTTTTTTTGTTTTTTTATTCTCATTTGAAAAAAAATGTTTTTGTTGTTGTAAAAAAAAAAAAAAAAAAAAAAAGCTGGTTGATCCAAGAGAAGACGGTGTAAAAATCAGGTTTCATGTTCGAGCTCCATTCACATCAAGTCAGATTTACAACAACTACGATCTTCAGAGGGAAATCATGTTTATTACCAGGAGAACAGCTGACTTCCTTTTTTCTTCTGCTTCCTGAAACAGCTGTTTAACCCTTTAACCCCCGAGTTTCCCTCTGAAACCTCCACCTCCAAAACCCTGAGGGTTTTCTGAAGAACGTGACGTTAAGATAACGAGACCTTAAACCTCTGGCTTTTATTGTAAATCATTGGCTTTGCCTTGGAAAGTGAATATGGCTGAAAAAACATTTGTCAACATTCTCAGATCAGTTTTATTGACTTTTTTTGACCATTAGGGTGAAGACAGTGACTTACAATAAAAGACAGAAGTTTAAGGTCTCAGGTGGTTTTTATTTCAGGTCTCTTTCTGCTTCAGAGGCTGAGAAATGAAAGTTTTAGTGACAGCGTTGTATCAGGTGAATCTTTACCTCTAGCTAGCGATGATACTGGCTCCTCCCCCTCCTCCTCCTCTGACATGCTAGCTGGTTAGCAGCTTAGCAGGTTGAAATCTGGTGACTGAATCTTATAAATCGTTGTTGTTGTTGTGATGGAGCTAACAGCTGTATTCTGCTTTTTTGTGGCTAAAACACAAACGAAATACATTTCCCATAATGCATTTCACCGTCCTGACACGGATTTTAGCAATTCACAACGCATTTCATCATTGACGTCTCAAAATTGACGTAATCAGATACCACACATGTTCGTCTCATCTGGTCTTAAGAGGTTAACCTGTCTGTAACCATGAATCTGGCTGATATCTCTGGATAATAATAATGATAATAATAATAATAATAATAATAATGACGTTATTTATATAGCACCTTTAAAAACAGAGTTTACAAAGTGCTTTGACAATCGAAGCTAAAGCAATAACAGGCAAGAGGCTCAGGAGGCAAAATAACATCCAAAAGTTCAAACTAAAGCAGTTAAAGATGGAAGACAAACAATATACCTCAGTATAAATGAGGACAATTAGAGAGAGGAGATACAGTATATAAGCAATAAAAGGACGATAAAAAGACAATATCACATACAAGTCTATAAAAATGGTTTTTAAGAAGTGACTGACTCTGCCTTATCTCGGGCAAAAAAGCATTTTCTCCTGATAATATCTCGTTATCTCTGGATAACGAGGTTTGTTATATTGAGATAACATGTTAAAGAAATTATGGCCTTTCTCAGCTTCCATAGTTGAACTCCCAATAAATGATTTTATTCTCTTACTAGGCATAAGACTTAATAAGAGAATAAAATGTGTGTGGTTTAGTGTACTGTAGTGAATGATTTGTGTCTCTCTTCTGAACGAACTGAAATGTGGTCAGCAGGATAGTTTTAGGGCTCGAACATGTAAAAGCAGTGATAGCACTGTAGGAGGAGTTGGGGATTAGCTAACAGAAGGAGAAGCACTGTGACGGTACTGAAACGAGGGAAACCTCAGACTGATGTGGATTTCAGTTTTCTCTATGTCTGAACTGATGTGATCAGTGGGACCGCTGACTGGAAACTTCTACAAGCTTTTTGTTTTGCCTCGTGTGTTGATGCTGCAGTGCCAGGGATTCTGATGCTGCAGTGCTAGGGATTCTGATGCTGCAGTGCCAGGGATTCTGATGCTGTAGTGCCAGGGATTGTGTGGCATTAAGTGTTTTTAATGATGTTTGTGTTGGCCAAATAAAGTTTTTACATTTTTAAGAAAAATCTGCATCTGGTTGATGATAAAGTTCTGGTTCTGAGACGTTTTCTAGCTTCATGTGACTGAGCAATGAATATGAAAAAAAGTTCTATAATGATGATGAATAATTATTACTTAATGTTTATATTTACATATATTTATAATTACATTGTTTTTTAGTCAACAGAACATTAGGTCTCTCTCTCTTTCTCTCTCTCTGATGAACCTGACTGGGACGCATTTGTTGCTTTTACAAAAGCATTGAACAAATGCATCCCAGTCTGGTTCATCACTTTTTAGAGTCCCCTGGAAACACTTCTGTTGTCGTCTGTGCTACTTGCTGCACATTTGTATATTTGGTTGCATTGTGAGTATTTGCAGCTCATGAAGAAGGAGATGTTTTCTGAATTAGTTTGAGCTCTCAGGGCCACCGTAGAATAACAAATATTAACAGAGGGAAAACTGCAGTGTCCCTGCTGTTTTTTCTTCTTGTTTGTTTCATCTAAACAAGAAAAGAAAACCCATTTTGTCGGTTTGGCTAAAAAGTCCTGGATGGCTAAAAGCTTTTCACGGCTAAACAGAGTGTGTCTCAGGATCTTCCCTTTCTGTGCTACTCATCAGTTCAGTGTATATTTGGCCTCAGATCTCCTCGGCCCTGGTTCCACCTCAAATGCAGAACTTGTGATTAATCACCGTGTCTGTTCTACTCTCCCAGCTCCGATCTGTTTTCTGATTGTGGAACAGTTGATGTCACTGTCGGGTCTCTGTTGGTATTTTTAAATCTTTTTGAAGACTCATCTTTTTACTTCTGCTTCTCAGTCTGCACACATGTTCATTGACGACATGATTGTTTTTATTCTGTCTGACTGTGTTTCTGCTGACTTTGACTTTCGCAGTGTTTTTTGTGTATTTATTTACTTCATCTTATTTATCTGAACCTGTTTGTTCAGCACTTCTCATGGCTCCTTCTCGCTCTGATCATATCTGAAGTTACAGTAAGATTTGAACTGTACTGGGTTATACAGGGAGGTGTTTCTGTCTGTAATACCCTCACATGTCTGAAACAGCTTCACAAAGGAGGATTAATTAAGACTGTTAATTAGACTGACTCAGTTGTAGCTAGGTGTTCCTAATAAACTGCCAACTGGGTGTATATATAATTAAAATTAGTCTGGGTGTGATGAAGAAACAATGCAGCAGACTGCACCAAGTTAATTACAGTAAAACAGCCTAAACAAATCATATTATTGCTGCAAGGCCTTTTAGTGGATTCATCCATGCCTGGAAATGGAAATTAAGCTAAACCTGAAGCTAAACCTGAACCTGAAGCTAAACCTGAACCTGAAGCTAAACCTGAACCTGACGCTAAACCTGAACCTGAAGCTAAACCTGAACCTGAAGCTAAACCTGAACCTGAAGCTAAACCTGAAGCTAAACCTGAACCTGAAGCTAAACCTGAACCTGAAGCTAAACCTGAACCTAAACCTAAATCTAATAAACCCTAAAGGGCTAGTCAAGTTTATTTGTATAGAACCTATAAAACAAGCTAAAACTGAATAAAGCAGATGAAACAGGAGAATAAGAATTACAGTGTCAAATCCCAAATGTAACTTAAAACAAACAGAAATGTCTTAAACCGTGAATTTAAAACAGATGGGAACTGAGCGACGGAGCAGAGCTGCAGTTTATGTTCTAGTCCAGATCGTCTGGTCTGTAACGCAGCAGCACGTCAGACATAAACCTGCAGCGCTTCATAAAACAACAGCACAGCTTGTTGAAACCTCGTCTGAACAGTCAAACAGCGAGGACACACACCAAACGTCCTCACTTACCAACTGTAGTGGGTCCTCACAAAGATAGAAACACACTCACACATGTGGAATGTGCTGCTTCCCGTCAGCTGTTTTTCCCACAAATGACTAGTTTCCAAAGAATGTGAAGAGGGAGGGAGAGAGTGTGTGTGTGTGTGTGTGTGTGTGTTATTTGATAACCTTATTTCCAGCTCAGTCTCACATCAGTCAGATAACATTCTTCCTCACTGGTTTCATTGCGGAGAACGTGGATCATGACGACAGCAGAGACCAACAAAACCACAACACCAGAGGATCTGAGGATCTGAGGACACGGCTCAGCTCTGGTTTGGTGTGTCATGTGCCAACACACACACACAGCACCACAAACTCCTGCAGGTTACTGTTCTTTATGGCTCCAGTATGTATTTGAATGTATTTCACATTTTGAGGGAAATATAATTGTGATCAGATTAGATTTAGTATCAATATCACAAGGAAAATGTTGTTTAATTTTCTTATTCAGAAGTTTACAAGTTGCCAAATGTTGATCCTGACTTCCTTCAGAATAAGTTGCACAACAATATCTGCTTGCAGTGGCTACAGCAGACAAACACACAGAACAATCTAAAGATAAGATGAAGATGAAAATACCTCTGAATCTTCTGTCTGAAGCGATGAGTCACAGTCAACTTCTAATTTCAACCAGCGACATCTTATATCTTAGAAGTTTTTCCACCCTGTGGTCGTCCGTTCCTCTGGGCTGACTCATCATGGACAGTAAATACCTCTGGACATGACATGAAGCTGAGCTGCGCTCTGGTCCTGTCTCTGCAGGTGACTCAGATCCTGCTGGGCTCAGTCACCACAACAGTTCATCAGCAGTGATACAAACTGTGGAGCAGAGACTCAAAGCATTTTAAAGGTCTGCTGATGTTTTATATTTTAATTCTCCTCATGTTCAGAGCCGAGCGTCAGTGAATCATCCTGCTGCTCTGGGTGACATGTTCCTTCATCATCGTGCTTTATTTTGACTCGGCACACACACCGTCCTGCAGCCGCAAACACTCACTACAGCACCAACGGTGGATTAATCCTCCGCTGAAAATAGTCCCCTACAAATGCTTTACATCAAGGGCATAGTTTATTTACATATAAGATCTCGATTTACATTTAAATAAAAACTACACACAGTATGAGATCAAACATTAAAAGAATATATGAGTACATTAAATATGTGAAATACCCACAGTAAAATGTGTATATGTTAATTTATCAAAATATCAGTGTGATGAATCTTTACATCTGTATGTGTTCTATGTAAAAATCATGTGTTAACTTGTGTTAATATTTATTTATCTATATATTCAATTTATTTATGCAAGTTTATTAAACCAACATACATGTTAATGAACCTGCTGGGACTTCACAATAGGGCTTTGAACAAGTGTGTCCCATCCTGGTCCACCACTTTTTAGTGTCCCCTGGAAACACTTCCTGTTGTGTTGTGAGTATTTGCACCTCATGTTTTCAAAGTGATGACGATGCAGTTGCAGTGTGTTGAGCTCTCAGGGCCACCGTAGGAGACAGCGCCTGGTGAGTAAAGGAATGAAGTTTTACAATAGTTTGTTCTAAACTGGTAAGTAAACAGCTGCTAATGCTAACGTTAGCTATGTAGCAGTAGCAAAAACTTACGTATAGCTCCTTTAAGACGACTTTAAAATGAGTGCCATGTGCTGGATGGACGGATGATGGATGTTTATGACGTTCAGAAAACAAAAGGAAACAAGCCAACAGACAAACAAACTAAAAACTAAACACACAGATTTGAAATGAACAACAGACTGTTGAGCTTCTGTCGTGTAAAAACCTCATCACCTGTCTTCATCACTCAACACACACACACCTGTTGTGCCTGCTATGGTTCCTGACAGCTGATTGACAGGTCCTGGTGGGAGTGGGCGGGACTTTCTGGTAAATGTTATGTTTTCTACTCCTGAAACTTTATTTATTTAGGTAAATCAGCAGGAACCAGTCGGAGCGCTCTGAGCTGCTGCTGTGGGGATTTGAACCGACAACCAAGTCATTCACACAAACTCTAAGAAAAGAGAAATCATCAGTCTGACCTTTGTTCTGTGATGAAGACTGCGGCCTGTAGGGGGCAGCAGCCGAGACTTCAGTCTGATGATCCTGTGCAGAGGAAGAGGAGGTGGACCTGTTTATCTTATCATGACTGTTGAATACAATCTTATCTTTATAAGAAGTGTGTGAAGATTAGATGTCCAAGCTGCTATAAACTGCGTGGGAAGTGTGTGTGTGTGTGTGTTCCTGTTGAATTCGTGGAATTCAAAGGAACCTGTGTTTTCTGTGTTTCAGGTGTGTCTCACCTGAGATCAAAGAGAGAGGAAGCTGGGGGTGGGGGGGAGTTCTCTTTTTCTTTTCTTTTTAAACAAACATCTGCTGCAACAGCTCGGCCACGCCCCCTGTTAATGACAACACCTCTGAGTAAGTGAGAAAACTTTATTTCCAAGCACCTTTTGAAACCAGAGTTACAAGGTGCTAAATACCTTACAAGGTGAGTTTTTAACAGCTTCTTAAAACTGTCGACTGACTCAGGGTTCTTTATAACCGTAGGGGAGGACGGGTCCAGAGGGTGGGAGCCACAACTGCAGATGTCACCTTTGGTTTAAATCCAGTAATTCAGAAATATAATGTGGGGCCAGTCTATATAGTGCTTTATACTGAAGGTAATTAAAAGAATTTTAAAATCAATTTCTTTCCTCAAGCTGACCGGCTGATGCTGCTGCTCTCTCTCCCCTTCCTCCACCTCTCGTGGCTCGTCCTCTTCACCTGCCACCACCACGTCTTCCCTGTCTCTCTGACTGGGCAGACTGGGGGTGAAATCATCGTCAGTCTGACAATAACCGAAGAAAACACTCGACCAGTGGCGTAATCAGGTTGCAAGTTAAATTTGTGTGGAAAACATTATTCTCCAAACATGTCAACATCCGCCCCGTGCTGAGGTTAGATGTATCCAAGCTAACGTTAGCTCAACATGAGGGTTGAAACTCGGTCGTGATCGAATCCTGGAACATGTGCACCCTGAATGACAGGCACACAGAGAGGACCGCTAAAAACTCGGTTTTGACGGCCAACCAGAATTTGTCCCATTGTGGCACAGGGGAAGGAGGGGGGAGGGGGGCTCAAAGAGTGAATTCCCTTGTTCCATATGATA